GTAATCTGCTTCGACCGGAGCCTAATATTAGCCTAATTGTAACACACAAAACGTTAAAAAAAAAAAAAAAAAAAACTTTGGCCGTAATTTAAAATCTGAAACCTTTCAGATTTTCTTTCTTTCTTTCTTTCTTTTTTTTTTTAAGAGTTTTTAAGCCTAATAACTTCCATATTAAAGGACATGTTTTTTTATTACTTTTTCTTTTCCCATTTAGGACTGCCTTCCTTACCGAATAAGGGAAGTACACATTGTTAATGAACCAGCTTTCTTCAGTGTCTTCTATAACATCATAAAATGTGCTATACCGAAGAAATTGAGAGATAGGGTGAGTACTTTCCATTAAAGATACAGCTGCTTTAATTCTTATAAGTTTCCAGTTAATCGTTTTATTGAGAATTTTAACAGAAATTATTTTTTAAGTGTGATATATACATCATCAAAATACAGAATTTATTACTGCTTTATTAAATATATAAACACTTATAATGTTTATAAATACTTTACAATCTTTTCCGAACCTCACGCAGTCACATCAGAGAATTTATATCCACTGAGTAAATATATAAATTTAATAAAAAATAAAAAATTAAGAGTAGGAAGAAGAAAGCCAAAGTTATGTTAAATGTAAAATTAGGCGGAAAAAAATTCACGAACACTCAGATTTTTATGAAAATCTCTCTCGATTTCAACGGGAAATGACATAGGTCCTTCTTCGGAAGAGTGTGTGTGTGTGTATTTAATTAAGGCAAAGCACACGAGGGCTATCTGCCTAAGGGGAGGGATGCCTTTCGTGGAGGACTTTCTAAGGGAAACTGGCTCGTATACACGTTACACATGGGGAAAACCACGAAAACGCCCATGCAGCCAGCCCGTTCGCGGGATTCGAACCTCGGACCAAACTACCAGTGTTCAGCGACTTTACCGCTCGGCCGCTGGTGGGCCCTTCTTCGGAAGAAGAAAATACTTTACGTAAGTTCCGCAAAACGAAAGGTCCAGATATATAAGGAAAATTAATTTAATAAATCCGACCAAAAATGAGTTGAATACTGTGCCATCTATCGAGTAAAAATTAAATGAAAAAGGAAGAAAAACAAGCTTGAAATTTTAAATTCTGGCGAGAAATTCGAATTAAATAATTAATTAATTAATTGGATCAATGGAGAATTGGAAGTAATTACTTTAAATTACGTTGGAATTAGTACAGTTGATCAAATTCAAAAGATTTTTGTGAACGCAGAAGACTTTAAAAGTATGTCTAATTTGTCAATTAAATAGAGTTCTTGAGCGCTTTAGGGGAGATAAATTTGTAATCATCGTTAAAGGACCATACAAATGGCTACTGATAAATTTATTAGTCCACAGGGGCTTTGTCCCTGAAGGACTATTGTTTTCGTTTTGCAATTTTGCGTTGAATCACTATAAACGGCGAATCACTTTTCAAACTGTTGCCACCAAATGTTAGAGTACTGCATTATATTTGAAGAAATTAAATAATGAAAATCTGCATAAATGTATGTATATTTCTCGCATTGTGATAAAACAACGGTACATAGAGCCACCGAATTTTGAATGACGTAATTCTCCTACGAATATGGGCATGTGGAAAATTTGAAATTTGGAATTTCTTTTATTATTGATTTCATATTTTGTAAAACTTAACGAATTTTAACAAACTGAACGAGTAACAAACTCAACAATTTTAAACCGAGCAATGGTAAAACTCTACGGGGGGGAAAAAAACCTTTTTTATTTCCTGCGCGCGGAACTGTGTATCGAAAATTCTAAAGATAAGCTTATTTTAAAATTATTGTGCGCCATTGCTATTGAACTGAATTTTATTGCTTAAGTGCAGAGAACATGATATTTAATAAATAATAATAACACGCAAAACGTTAAAAAACATCCCTTTGGACGTAATTGAAAATCTGAAATCTTTCAGATTTTTTTTATATATATTTTATACTTAATATTTATTATTTTATTTCCTACATAGACTACGTGTTCATTAATGGCTTTCTTCATTTGGACGATATGTGTCAAACTATACTGGAAAGGGACGTTACTTTCCCCAATTAAATACAGAATACTTAAAGATTGAACTCCGAATTTCACAGATAGGTCCGAAAATTGCATGATACTTGAGATTTTGGAGAATCCGAGCAAATGCTGAAAGTAACAGAACACAAAAAGGGGATGCAACAAGAACGTTATGTTTGTTCCTAACAGAAAAGTGCCTTTTATAAATTAAAACTCATGTGTTTTCAAATTTTTGAGTAATAACTATGGAGAGCAATTCTTACAATTAGCACATGACTTTACGTAATTGAGTTCCTAAATAAAAACAGTTTATGAAGAATAAATACTGAGGACATGATGAACCGAAAGATGCAAGGCCATCTTTTTTGCTCAGCAGAATGGTAATATTTAACATACGAAAGAAGGTCGATGGGAAAAGTATGATAAACAGTAAAAAAGAAATCATATATATGAGGGGTATTTAGAATTTCAAGGGAAATGCGCAGTTTAGTTTTAGATGTGATCTGAATAGTTCTTTCATTGGGATTCGTAAGAGTTACTTCTCCTTTATTATCATTAAATAAGGTATATTTTAATTTTATAACCTGTTATTTTATGTTAACTCTCTTTCCTACCAAGCCTATATTCATTTCCCTGCCAGACTGCAAATTTCCACGGAGCGCGATTTTCAAATTAGGTAGAAAGAAGGAAAAGTTTAAAGGAGGATTTTTAAGGGTGAAATGAGAGCATGTTCTGCCTGCTTGACAGCCACATTGCTAACTTTGATTTTCTAGGAATTATAATTCTGTGGCCTTTAGCTATTCTTGCCATTAGACTTGTTTAAACCGACTCCGGTCAGAGACAGCTTACGCACTAGTTAAACTCTGAAGCTATTAGCCTAGACTTGAATTTACTTTACTTTAGTTTATTCATTATCTTTGATTTTAAGCCAAAAAGTGTTGGCTTCTCTAAGCACGAGTTGGCGCCATCTGTAATTTCGGACATAGCGATAAATCACATATTGCCTTTCAGAGTTTTGGATCTAGTTTATGTTACCAAAGAACACGAGACTCTATAGAATGAAAAATTACCTTCAACACGAAGATAACCTTAAATAATTTAACTCAAAATTGCGCATGTAAACATCACCGAGAGTACTGTAAAGAGTGGTTTACCCATAATCAAGAGAATTTATAAAATTAGAAGCACCACGGCCTTATGAAAGGAGTCAAACACATAAACGAAATAATATAACAAATAAAGGATAATAAAATTGAGTAATATGTAAATAAATAAATAAATAATTGCTAAATCAAATTACTGAAAAATGCTTACTGAGCCTGAGCCCTGCTTATTATTAATTTTTCAGATGTGTGATATTAATAACTAAAATCTTTGCTATCAGACATCTGAATTTCAAAATTTTGAGACAATAACGCTATTTAAAATAATTTTCTACCGAAATCAATAATTTATCTCAGTCATTGATAAAGATTTTTGTATCGTATTAAAATATAAACTTTCTTGTATCAATTTAAGGGCAATGCTGTATTAGAAACTTAGGAGTTTTGTTTTTCCATTTTATATCGTGGTCTGTTCTCAAGTATATTTTATGATGAATCACGTTTTAATTGCAAATTATTCCTCTTATTTTAGCTTCATATGCATGGACAGAACAACGAAGCTCTCCACAAGCATTTTTCTCCGGAAATACTCCCTGAGGAACTAGGAGGGAAGGCAGGCCCCGTCGACAGCACAGTATTTTATAACAACGCGCTAAGACTGGAATCGTTTGCCAAAGAGATGATTAAATGTGGATTTCGAAGAGAGTGTTCAGTGAACTCCGGACGATAAACTGAAAAAAATTATTGTTTTTCTTAATTTAGTTTAATTACTGATTTATGTAAAGAATAAGAAATCAATAACCATGCAATTTTGTTAAAAAAATTGCTTTTATTTTTCAACGACCTGAGCTAGTTCAGAAAATGACAAAACTAATTGGTAATAAGGGCTCTTTCATGCCAAATTTAATGCTATTAAATTTGGCCATTACAGCCTTATGGTCTGATGAGAGCTCATTGATGCTTTCAATATAAGTTGGAGCAGTAATATTCTTTATCATGAAAACATTTAGAAAGCCCGGAGTACCAGTACTATAACAGTGTTTTGGGTAGCAGTGTTTTGGGTGTTAACAGTCACGTTAGCCTTACTGACAAAATCATGTATTAATTTTCCATATCTATTTTGTGTAGCGTAGTTCCAAGATATGCGACTTGCGTTAAAATCTCCACCTATAATAATACGATTGTTTATGTTTAACTAAGTTTGCATATTTTTATATGCAACCACGACTGAGTAAAGAAGGGGTACTGATAGAGATAACTGTGAATGTACGTGAGTTGTGTGGTATGATTGTAACAGCTAGTGCCTCTACGACTCAAAGCTATGATAGTGTTACGGTATAATGAGTAATGGAGCGTTTAATTAATAATAGTAAACCTCCAAGGACATTTCCCTTAATAGCAGGCCTACCTGTAGCTGAGTGATCCAGTCAGTGCGAGATATAGTTAGAAGGATGAAAAACATTGTGGGGGACAAGAATATGTTCCTAGAGGAGAGTAATATCGCGACTTTTTTTAAAATTCTAATGGCAGATAGTGAACAGTTACAGCAAAATACAAGAACAAAGAACACAGAATACAGTAACACAATATAAGAAAAAAAGCTGTAACAGAGTTTATTAATCTAATATATCTCTTGCCTCCCAGTAAATCTTGGCGAGAAAAGTCTTGCGCAGAGCAGGACAGTGGAGAAGATGTGCGGCGTTCATCACTTCTCCAGAACCGCACAAAATGGCTATCGGAGAAAGAACAATTTTGAATCTATGGAATATGATATCGTTGGCATTCATGTCCGGTGGCAAGGCAGAATTCAGCGACAGCTCTACGCTTTGAGCCATTACACAAATTCGGGATAGCATTCTTCTAAGACTTATGAGAAACACAATGATAGAGATCTTCCTGAGCACGTACTTTGAAAGATCTTTTAATAAGATCCCTAACAGTATGGAAAGGCAGAGGACGAGAAATATTCTGCTTGATTAAAGCACTCTTTTTTGCCAGGAAGTCGGCTTTCTTGTTACCTGGAACATCACAGTGGGCAGGAACCCACTGGAGGACTATAGTTTTCTCAAGTGATGCCAGGTTTCTTAGATAATATCGACAATCCAATAGGTCCTGTGATACAGGACTTTTATCTGAAACGATAGCCAACAAAGAGGATCGGGAATCATTGAGGATAACAGCTCTTATGAATTTTTTTAAGTGGCATGGCAGCTGGTACAGAACTGTGTGAATCGCAACAAATTCACTGTACGCAGTACCTCGGCTCATAGGGATGTAGAAAGAGAAAATTTCGAACAAAACTCCGGCACCTGCATTAGGGCCATCAGACAGGAGAGATCCATCAGTAAAGATCCGAAGCCACTCTGGCTCAGGGTAAAAAATATTTAATAGTTCGAGAGCGAGGGCTCTGTAAATAGAGGGATCCGTGTTACTTTTGGCTACTATTTGACCCAGGTCAAGATTAATCCAGAAAGATTTCAAATTCATTGGATTTTCATTAGATTTATAGTCAAATCTTGATTGACTTCATTCCAGAGTAAAAGACATCCAGGAACTCTAATGATCTTTTCCCAGAGAATTAAGGCCTTTTCTTGAATTACGGTTCTTAAGGATTTATCAGTAGTTAACATTGGCATCAGTCTGGGTGGTCTTTACGGCTCCAGAAACAATACGTAAACACTGATTTTGGACGTCGTCTAGATAATAAAACACATTTTCCCCGGCCACAGCAATTGGTTCGCAGCAGTAAGCCAGAAGGGGTTTGGAGCAAGGTTTTTCCAGTGCAACGCTACCTTGCCCCAGCAAGGCGTTTAAAGACACTGAGTCTCTTCGTAGAACGGTTGGACAAGTCCTCTACATATGGCTTCCATGTAAGTTTGCTGTCAAACGTCACACCCAAATATTTAAATTTATCGCACAAGGGGATTTGGGTACCCTTATACGTCAGCTGAAGATCCTAAGATTGGTGCATAAGTGAGAAAGTCAGGCAGTATGATTTATTTAAATTCACCTCCATATTAGTGGTATCACACCAAACTTCCAAAGCGTCAAGGCAGCAGAAAGTTTAGTCTCTATGTTTCTCACTGCACTTTCGTTTTAGAATCTGTCCAGGAAACCAAATCATCAGCGTATAAAAGACACTTGACGCCAGAAATTTCTCCTATTTTAAAAATCAAATCATTAATATAGATGTTAAAAAGGGAGCAGCTACTAACAGCTCCCTGTGGGAGATCTGTTCTTAAGACCTTAGATTTCGATAATGCGTTGCCGTACCTGACTCTGAAAGAGAGCTGGCACAGGAAGCCGCTAATCCAATTAAACAGATTTGCTCTAGTGCCTAGCCCCGACAGTTTCCGTAGAAGGCACTTTCGCCATACTTTGTCGTAGGCAGAATTGAGGTCAATAAAAATTGCTGTCAGGACCTGCTTGTTATCGAAAGCGTCCTTGACAAATTGACTCAGCAGGGCAACATGTTGGTGAGTAGATCTGGAGCTTCTAAACCCCGACTGCTCCTCGGCATAAAGTCCGCAAGTTCCTCAGTAATAATTAATTCTTCTCACAATTATTTTCTTCATAGCCTTCTCTGCAATACTAGTAAGCGATATTGGTCTATAGTTACGGAGACTATCACGATCTTTGTCTTTCTTATGTATGGGAATAATGACAGAAGTTCGCCATTCAGCTGATACAATACCAATGCTCCAAATGAAATTGAAAAAGATCCGGGCAGTCTCGAATGCTTTAGGGCTAAGATGGAAGAGAAACTCGGAATGGATTCCATCTCCACCAAGTGATTTACCACAAGGAAGGCTTCTTACAGCATAGATCAATTCGTCTCGATTAATGGGTGCTTCAAAAACTGAATTATTAGAAGATTCATATTCCAACTGCAGGAGTGTAGTTTCTTGCTTAACTCCGGACGAATGTATTTTTCGTCAATGTTTTTAATATTAGCTCTACAGAAATGCTGTGCAAAAGTATTCGCTACAAAATAATCCGAAGAAAGTTGTTTATTTTTAACTATGAAGGTTTGTATAGGTGAGCCAGCAGGATCATTCATTAGGTTGCCTACAAATTTAAATGTCCTTTTATTATCAGATTGGTAATTTATATTTGAAATCAATTCATTAAATGAGGATCGTTTACTGCTAATAAGGGCCTACCTAAAATATGCAAATTGTTTTCTCCAAGCCTGAACATCGTAAGGTCGGGAGGTCAACTCTGCCTTTCTTCTAAGCCTGTGTCTCTTAGCTTTCAGTGAGGTCAGTTCATCTGTCCAGAAATATTTGCCAGAAATTTCTTTTGCCTTCCTCTAGGGATGGACTTTTTAGCACAAGATATCATTGTGTCCTTAATAATTCTATAAACTTTATTAGGATTTAAAGTAAATTCAAGTTTATCAAATACAACATTAGTAATATCGGGACTATAGTCGTGTATAGAGGATCAGGGATTTTTTGGAATAGGCTATTTTTGTTCCATGTGACAATGACAAGAGAATTATGGTTTGATATAAAATACTACATTGCCCTCAAGTTTTAGGAAATAATTTGTGTTTTATGGGAAAAAGCATTTTTCCAGAACTAAAGGTACAGTTGATTAATTCAAGGGTTTTTATCATAAGCCATTTCCAAAATTCCGTTTTGTAAGTAGATGGTACCATAAAACATACATGTATATCAAGTTAAAAACAACCATTTAAAGGTTGTTTTTAACTTGATATACATGTATGTTGATATACTTGATATACATGTATTATTTTCTTTCGCAGTTATTTAAAAACTGCGAAAGAAAATAATGTGTCATGAATTAATAACTGTGAGACCATTCATGGACTCATACAAAGTAAGTTTAAAGACAGTCTTACTTTATTAGGTGAATGAATGTCCTTCTATTTCTGTACTTTATGCTGCTCAAAAACCAAAAAGGAATAGCTTCAATATTACTATTACGACTACCCAAAATCTACATTGTGATTTAAAAGAATAAGGTCTTATCAAATATTTTTGCTCTTTTATGCTTAAAAAGGGATAACCACAAATATTGACTTAGGGCGAAAGCACTCTGCCTTGTGAAAGAGATAAGGCACAGGAAACATTAATGGAAGAGATATTTATTTACCTGGTCTTCATACATATGAGATTTATTAAACGGTTTTATAAAGTTATATGTTTAATGAAGGAGTGGATTATTAGAAATAACGTCTTGAATAATTCAATTAAATTCTTCGAATCTCTTGAAATTGGTGGGCGTTGGTGAAACACATGTATCATATAACATGTATAAACATGAGTCATAGTATTTGGATTTAGAAGTGTGAAATTCATAAAAACATTTTTCAGAATTCTCTATTCCGAACTTCTAGTGGTGTAATTTCTTTTTCATATTTATTTAATTGCTTTAATTAGTTTTATAGGCTTCTTTGTAAATTGAAGTTTAAAGCAAATAGTCTCCAAGAAAGCCATTGGCAACCATTGTGAAAAAATTCCGAGCTTCGTTTTCACCAATACAAAATGCGCTATTAAAATGTATAGCCTCGAAGAAAGCGGAAATCTCTTCATGAAGCAAAACATCCTTCCTTTGATTTTGGTCTCACATAAAAGTGAAGCTTTGGCACTGACAGTAAGAAATGCTGCGCTGCTACCATTTGTGATAAGTTCTCAACCTTTTCTGAGTTACCATCTCATTCAGAAGTTTCTTGTTGGACATCTTTTTTAGTACAATGCCTCTCTAATGATACATTGCGTAGATTATGATGATACATTGCGCAATGTATCTAAGGTGAACACAAATGTATCTAATGATGCACTGCATAAGCATTGCGTTCTTTGCATTTGAACTTTGTCGAGTGACTTGAAAAAACAGCTGATACGTTTTAGATTATTATTGCATTTGCGTTTCATGAAATTATTAATTAAAATCATCATGCAATACGAAAAAATAATAATAAAGATTAAAGTCTTTTCAAAGTATTTACGGTAATGAACCTGGCATAAGAAGCACAGATTCTTATCTTAGCACTCGCAGTGGTGTAAATTAAAAAGCATGCTATTTGAAAAGAGAGGCCTTAGGAGCTGGTTGTAGCATTTTTTGAAAACATTTTATTTTTTGAAATATATTTACCATTTTTCTCACTATAACTACTGTTTTTATAGCTTAACTATTCATTCATCATATGCACAAAATAACCGTTTAACAATTTTGTTGATTTCAGCAAAAGAAGCATTTTTATCAGTTTACCCCGTGCTTAGGGTGAACTGCACTAGACCTGGGGCAACAGTAACAATAAAAACGACAATATAATAAAAAGAATTTGATAATTACAGCTACCTGGTATCGTAATCATGAATGATATCTAACGGTTTAGAATAAAACAAAGATAAAATTATTTAACTAATAAATATGATAGTCAATATTCATGAGACCTGCAGCTAACACAAACATATGACAGTTTCTTCTCAAACATTATAACGTGTGCCTACATTTTGCAAATTAAACATTGCACCCATTCTCCTACACGGAAATTCGAAAGTTAAGCGCAACCACTTTCCTGTTTCAGAATCTATATCTGAGTCTAAAATCCTCCTCTTTCCCCATTTTGTCTCATTATTTTATTCACGGAATTTTTTCCTTTAACTATTCCCTTTTCTTTATCTTTTTCCCGTTTCTCAATAACTATCTCTTGATATTCTTTTCCCAATGATTCTGCCTCAGGTATGTTAGTTAAAACGTAAGACTTCCTTTAGCGTCAACAGCTATTAGACAGCTTCCAAGGTGAAGCCTTCATGAGAAGTCTAATCTGTGAAGATAAAAAAATCTAATTTTCTATTTTGAGAAAGAAAACTAGATAGAATAAAGAAATTTGCATGACAACATTTAACAAGCATCTAGTTTTCATAATACTTGAGAACATTTAAAAATGTCTAACTATATGAATCAAGATCTCGGGATAAGTGGTAATATGTTACAACTTGTGGCATCAAATGGGTTCGGACAATTTTAGTGTATTTATCAAAAAAGATTGGGATTAGTAAAACAAAAATTGCTGCAGCATTAAAAAGATTAATTAAATTCCCTAGAAGATCTGTCATAAGATGCATGTTATGTGAAAATTCTGAGGAAACATTTTTAAAATAACTACGTAAAGTGTGTGTTACTACTTAGCCCTGTTAAAACTAGTTCTCCTACTAAATATTACTTATTTACAATTATATATCAAGATGTTAAACTAATATTTTAAAGTTTCGACCTTTTTGAATAGAACTGCAACGGGAATAACTTTATATAATACGTATGCCTACTGACATAATTTAGTAAGATTCTTGTGAAAATGCTAGACAGTAATGCTTAATGTGTAATGCGAGACAGTAATGCGAGACAGTAATAGTCAAAACAATTTTTAATGCCTGTTTCAAATGCAAGCAAACAATTAAATTTTTCAGGCGCGTTCGTATTACCCACTTGGTCTCTAATGTGCGCTGCAGTGC